TACAATAAAAAGAACTGGCAAAAATGGAAAGTTAGTTTTCTGAAAGGATCAACAAAATGAATAAACTCCTGACTAGACTAACAAAGAAAAAACACAAAATACCAGTATCAAGAATTAATGATGGATGTCACAACAAACTCTACATCCATTAAAAAGATATGAAGGGGGGCTGGCCCCGTGGCTTGGTGGTTGAGTGAGCGCGCTCCACTGCTGGCGACCCGGGTTCGGATCCCGGGCGCGCACCGACGCGCCGCTTCTCCGGCCATGCTGAGGCCGCGTCCCACATACAGCAACTAGAAGGATGTGCAGCTGTGACACACAACTATCTACTGGGGCGTTGGGGGGAAAAAATAAATAAAAATAAAATCTTTAAAAAAAAAAAAGATATGAAGGGGATCTTTGAATAACTTTATACCAATAAATTAGACAACTTGGATGAAATGGACACATTCTTTGAAAAATACTACTTAGCAAAATAGAGACAAAATGAAAATGTTACCGGACACACACCCAGGTCCTTTACCCGCCACACAAGAGGGGCCAAAGAAAACTGGAACGCCAGGCTTATGGCAAGGAAAGAGTTTTTATTTCGGGTGACGTCAGCCGGGAGACGAGAGCTCTCAAATTTGTCCCATTTCCCCGAAAGATGGGAGGCAAGGGGTTTTAGAGGTTGTGAGGAATGTGGCTGCTTATAGGGAGGGGGAGCCTGTGGCCTTGCTGGTCAGCGCTTTCCCATCAGCCTTCGTTTGGCCTTGTGAGGCTGCTGGCAGGGAGGAGGGTGGCGAGATAAGGGAATTGCTGGTGGGTGTCCTTCAGCCGTCTCTGTGGTGGATGGTAGATTCTGGCGCCAGGAAGCCAAGGAGTTGAGGTCTAAGAAGCTTTAGCTTCTTGATATCAGTTTCCCTGTAACAAACCTCAAGAACTGGTAATTAGCCAAAACTTCAGTGTGAGCCCAGCTTGAGGCCACCTGGGCTTTTAACAATTTGTAACTTCTATCTGCTATGTGAAGTTCAGGGATACAAAAAAACCCAAAAAACAAAAAAAACCCAATAGTTACATAGGAATCAGAATTTGTTGTTTAAAACTTTACCACTGTTAACCTTCAAAAACCAAAACCAGTTAAGAGGCAAAAAGCATTTATTTGGGATCAAAAGAATTACAGTTCAAGGAACAGAGTCTCAGGTAGAAACTCAAATAGTCTCCTGCTGGGGAGTAAAAGTCATGGGCTTTTAAAGGCAAAGAAGGGAGGTTGTATTACAAAGAATTTTAAATGGAGTTGCAGGCAGAGAGCTAGTCTTGGCTAAGCATTGATTGAGGATTGATTCTGTCTTCAGAAAGTTCACAGTCCTCAGTTTTTGTGATCGGGATGTCATTCTCCCGCTGACTTCTCAAACAATAGCTTGTAAAACAATTGCCGTTTTGGCCCAGTCCAAGGTTCAAGACAGCAAGGCAGTTTCTCTGGGAAGGCATCTCTAACTCCATTTTAAAATGGCTCCACTAAAGTCAATTTTGACACCACACAGAAAACTGTAGGTCCAGCAGTTTTGCTGGTAAATTCTATAAATATTTATGGCAGAAATGACACCAGTCTTACACAAATTCTTTCATAAAACACAGGAGTTCTTCAGTGGTTTAGGAGGCCAGCATAACCCTAGTACTAAAACCTGACAAAAGCATTTCAAAAGAGGAAAAATACTGAACAATATCCCTCCTAAAAATAGATGCAAAAATCTTTAATAAAACAAATAGTGAACCAAATTCAGCAATATTTAAAGAAGATAACATGTCGTGACCAAGTGGGGTTAATCCCAGCAATAAGTATTGGATTAACATCTGAAAATCAATCAGTGTTTGTCACTATATTAACAGTGTGAAGGAGAAGAACTATATGAACAGCTTAATAGATGAGAAAAAGCATTTGACAGCATTTAACCCCCTTTCATGATAAAAGCTCTGGTTATATCAGGACGGAAGGGAACTTCCTCCATCTGCTAAAGGCTGTTTCCTCTTGGAGTCACATAGCAGATGAGGATAACCTAGGAAGGGGCATGAGGAAATTTTCTGTGGTATTGCTAATGTTCCGTGATCTAGAGAGAGGATTTGGGTTACACAAGTGTGTGCATTTTTCAAAACGCTTTGTGTGGTACCCTTAAGAATTGGGCATTTCACTCTTTGTAAATTTTACCATTAAGAAAACTGTAAACAAATATTGAACTCTAGTTACTGAAATACATGCTAAAGTATTAAGAGAAATGTACTGATATCTGCAACTGAATTTCATCATAAAAATAAGACAGTTAGATGAATGGACAAAGAGAAAGAAATATGTGATGAAGCAAATATAGGAAAATATTAGTTATAGAATCTAGGTGGTGAGTATATGGGAGTTCATTGTACAAGTCTTTTAACTTTACTGAGTGCTTGAAACTGTTCTTAATAAAATATTGAGAAAGAGTCCATGAGAGGAGAATCCGGAAGACAGGAGGGAATAGCATTGTGAGAGCAGAGAAAGGAGACACAGACATTGCTGGACTCAGAGGAGGCCCAGCCTGGACAAGGGAGGACCTGAGGGACACGTGAGCTTAGCGGTCACCAAGTGCTTGACCAGCCATTATGTGGAAGAAAGCTGCATTTTATCTTGTTTAGATACAGTCAGTTGAACTGAGCTCAAAAAAAGATTTTATTCTGACTTATTTTCTTAATTTAACTTTTTATTTTAAAATACTCTCAAAATTACAGAAAGGTTGCAAAAACTATACAAAGACTTTTTTCTGAACCATCTGAAAACTAGATGCTAACACGATGAACATCATTCCTGAACGCTTTAGTGTGTACTCCCTACAAACAAGAACATTCTCCCTCATAACCACAATACAACCTTCAGATCAAAACATTAATGTCAATATCGATTATCTAATTCTCAGACCCCATTCAAATTTCTCCGATTGTTCTTATGTCATTTGTAGCTCAGAGATCGTGACACAAATCACTGCATTGTCACTTTTCTGTGACTCTTTGGTATTTAGTGGGACACTGACAGGTTCCATCAGCAATGGCTTGCCAGGCACTTTAAAAAAACGTTTTTTAATTGTGATAAAATATATGTCACATAAAATTTACCATCGCCATTTTTCAGTGTACAGTTCAGTAGTGTTAACCACATTCACATTGTTGTGCAACCAATTTCTAGAAGTATTTTCATTTTGCAAAACTGAAACTCTATACTCATTAAACAACTTCCAATTCTCCCCTCTGTCCAGTACCTGACAACCAAAATTCCACTTTCTGTCTCTATGAATTTGTCTACTCTAGGTATATAAGTAGAATCATATAGTATATGTCTTTTTGTGATTGGCTTATTTCACTTATCATAATGTCCTCGAGGTTCATCCATGTTGTAGCATGTCAGAATTTCCTTTTTTTTTTTTTTTTTAAGATCAATATATATTCCATTGTGTGAATACACCACATTTTGTTTATCCATTGATGGACACTTAGGTCTCTTTCACCTTTTGGCTATTGTCAGTAATGCTGCTATGAACATAGGTGTGCAAATATATCTTTGAGTCCATGCTTTCAATTCTTTTGTTTATATACCCAGAAGTAGAATTGCTGGATCATATCGTAATTCTATTTTTAATTTTTTGAGAAAACCCAAATTTTATGGAAACTTTTTCCATAGGGGCTGCATCATTTTACATTCCTACCAACAGTGCACAAGTCTTCCAATTTCTCCACATCTTTACCAACAATTGTATTTTCTAGGTTTCTTTCTTGTCTTTTTTTTTTTCTCTTATAGTTGCCATCCTAATGGGTGTGCGGTGGCATCTCATTATGGTTTTGGTTTGCATTTCCCTATTGATTAGGGATGTTGAGCTTCTTTTCATGTGCTTATTGGCCGTTTGTATATCTTCTCCAGAAAAATGTCTATTCAAATCTTTTGTCCATTTTTTAATCAGGTTGGTTGTTGTTGTTGTTGTTGTTGTTGTGTGTAGGAGTTCTTTATATATTCTGGATATTAAACCCTTATCAGATATATGGTTTGCAAATATTTTTCCCATTCTATGGGTTGCCCTTTCACTCTGTTGATTGTGTTCTTTGACGAACAGAAGTTTTATATTTTGATATAGCCCAATTTGTCTATTTTTTTCTTATGTTGCCTGTGCTTTTGGTGTCATATCCAAGAAACCATTGCCAAATGCAAGGTCATGAAGAATTGCCCCTATGTTTTCTTCTAGGAATTTTATAGTTTTCACTCTTACATTTAGATCTTTGACACATTTGGGGTTAATTTTTGTATATGGTGTAAAGTAAGCATCCCAGTTCATTGTTTTGCACATAGATATCCAGTTTTCGCAAGATCATTTTGTTGAAAAGATTTTCCTTTTGCAATGGGGAAGCGGTTTTGGTACCGTTTGTCAAAAATCACTTGACCATATATGCAACAGTTTATTTCTGGGCCGTCTGTTCTACTCCATTGGTCTAGATGTCTGAGGCATCTTTTTAAACAAGAAATTCATTATTTAATGTTTGATCCTGTATCCTGATTTTTTCAAAGTTTACATATTGTATAACTCTCATTTGTAAAATTGTGTGTGTGTGTGTGTAAGAGAGAGGGGGAGAGAGAGTATTCACACATATGGAGATATAGTGGAACTAAGTAAGACAAAATATTAAAGGATGCTACTTCTAGTTGAGGGGACCAGGTGGTTTTTGTAGTCTTATAAAAACTTAACTTGCTCATATTTTCTGGAATAAACATGTTTTATTTTATAATAAGGGAAAAGGATAGAGCAGAGTTTTTCAAGTGTATGTTACTTGCCTAGCCCCAAATCATGAGGGACAAACGTAAATAGAAAAGAATATGTGAGAGTTCAGAGCTGGAAGAAAGGTGGAAGTTCTGCTTAGTTTTGGAGGTGAGGTGAAGAGAGTGTGAAATGGATCCTGGGAAGGTGAGAGTCTGGAAGCCACTCATGCCTGGCCCTGCTTTGTCCCCACAGGTCCCAGCTGCCTCGGCCATGGTAACCCAGCAAGAGAGAGTTCCCCAGCAGTTACCTGCCCCACAGAAATCGAATCACAGCCTCTGGGAGAAGGGGTGTCCACCAGGTACATTCTAAGACTGATCTCTAACTCTTTACCTCACTCTGTCTCCACCTCTTTCCAGTCTTCTATTCCTGCGGTTCCTGGTTCTTTATTCCATAGGAATTTACTGGATGTCTTCTGTATGCCAAGCACTGTGCTAGCAGAGGGCATGAGGCCCCTGGCCTTGGAGCTTTCCTTCTGGGATGGTCCAGACAGAGGATGAACGTGACAGTCAGAGAGGCATGCTAGGAACTGTGAGGATAATTGAGTGATGGGTGGGACAGAGACCGGGTTGATGAGGCCTCCTGGGGAGGGTGACTTTCATGCAGAGAGCCACTCTCTTTGGTGCAGAGAGCCAGGTGGGTGCTCCTGAGAGGGCCCCAGGAACTATCACCCCAGGGGGCAGGCGCAGGGGTTTGTTTGAGCAAAGCTAGGGGGCAGCTGGGGTGAGAGGAGGGTGAAGAGTTCAGAGGGACAGGTAGGGGCAGATCACACAGGGCCCTGGACACCGTGGAGGGAACGTGGGATTTATTTTTGAGCGAGGGACACCTGTGAGACATTTTAGGCAGAAGACTGATGGGATCGGATTTGTATTTTTAGCATCCACTCTTGGATTAAAAGGTGGCAAGACTAGAACCGGTGGAGCACCTTCCGGGGCATGTCTGCGAAGCGCACCCCTCGGTTTTCTACCTGGTGGGGTGTCTGTGTTCCCTGTGGTTCTGTGAGCGTGGGGAAAGGCCGCAGGAACCATGCCTGGCGTGGTGGTTGGCTGGGGCTCTGCCTCGTGCCTGTCTCCTTCTCTCTCCACTTGGGTGAGTTAGGATTGATCTCCTGCACAAGGGCGTCCAGAGCTGGCAAGAGTAGCACCAGGGGTGCTTAAAATCCCTTGAAGAATTTGATTTCCTTTCTGTGACTGTGTGATCCTAGGAAAGGCTCCTGTGCCCTTCCGTTAGGGCGAGCCCACATTCCACAGCACCTCGTCAAGGTGTCAGGATGTGGAGAGGGAGGAGCCCAGCCCAGACAAACGCACAAAGGAAACTGCAAAAGCAGGAGATCTTCGGGCACCAGTTGCTGTGGTCCGGGGGCGAGATGGGTGGGCTTGACCAGGGTGGTGAGCAGAGTCATGGGCAGATTAGGAAGGACAAGGGACATAGACATCCTTTCCCTCTACAAACTGGTAAGAAAGAGTTCTCCTATATATTTGCAGTAGTTTCGTGGTTTCCTATTTTATAATTAAGTCATTGATTCACTCAGACTTTATTTTCTTGTAAGAAGAGAGTAAGAAAGACACTTTAGGGGCCGGCCTCGTGGCTTAGTGGTTAAGTGCACGCGCTCCGCTAGTGGCGGCCTGGGTTCGGATCCTGGGCGTGCACCGACGCACTGCTTGTGGGGCCATGCTGAGGCCCCGTCCCACATACAGCAACTAGAAGGATGTGCAACTATGACATACCACTATCTATTGGGGCTTTGGGGGGAAAAGAAAAAGGAGGAAAATTGGCAATAGATGTTAGCTCAGAGCCGGTCTCCCTCAGCAAAAAGAGGAGGATTAGCATGGATGTTAGCTCAGAGCTGATCTTCCTCACAAAAAAAAAAAAAGACACTTTATTTTGCAGCAGTCTTGCTAGATGTCCAGCACCATTATTAAATAGTCACATTTTTATCATTGATATAAATTGCCATCATGATAATATATTATTCAGTAAGGTCTATTTAAGGTAGGTTTTTTAGAGCATCTTTCAATATTGATAAAAGTAAATCAGGAAACTCATGGACAGTATGTAGAAGGATTATGGGAGCTTTTTTGTTTGTTTTTCTCCATTCTGAAGATCTCTGCCTTCTAATTGGAGAGTTTAAACTATTTATATTTAACACAATTACTGATAAGGTAAGACTGACTTCTGCCCCTTAGATATTTGTTTTCCTTACGTCTTATGTATTTTGTTCCTCAATTCCACCTTTGTGCCTTTTTTTCTATTTAGTTGATTTTTTGGAGTACCATTTTGATTCCTTTCTTCTTTCCTTTTCTGTCTATTATTTAATTATTTTCTGAGTGGTTACTTTGGAGGTTACAATTACCATCTTAAGCTGATAAAACTTACTTTTTATAAAACTGACATAACTTCAATGGAATCCGAACCCCTGTGCTCCTATACATCTGCATCTCGCCTCTTTTATGTTGTGTCATAGATCACATCTTTGTACAGC